GGCTGGGCCCCGCCCCCGGGCTCTGACGAAGCTGGGCCCCGCCCCCGGGCTCTGCTCCGGCTGGGCCCCGCCCCCAGGCTCGCGGGAGGCGGGGCGGGGGCGCTGCTGGAGCGGCGCCCGGCGGGCGGGGAGCGGCGGCCGCGGGAGGGAAGCAGCATGGCGGCCGGGTGCGAGCCGCTGAGCGCGCCGCCGCCTTCCCCTCCTGCCGCTCCCGTGGCGGGGCCCGCGGGCCCGTTGCCCGAGTAGCCAGCGCCGCCCGGAGCTCGCCCGGCCATGGAGCTCGCCCGCCCGGCCTTCCCGGCGCTGCCGCAGGCCAAGGAGGACTCCGAGGTGAGCGGCCCGGCCGCGCGCTCAGGCCTGGGGACGGGGCGTCCCCTCCCCCCGCAGCGCTCCCGCTCCACCTGAGGGGCCCGAGCGCCGCGGGAGCGGCGCCCCCTCCCTGCCGTCCCATGGGGCCCTACTGCCTCCCCCCTCTCGAGACACCCCCCCCTTCATCGCGGGGGCCCTCCTGCCCCCGGGGGGGGCGTGACCCCCACCCTCTTCCTTCCCCTTGGGACCTCTGCTGAGCCCCCCTGCCCCGTACAGGGGCGCTGGGACCATTAGTAGCGTGGGGGTGCTGACCCATTGAACCCCTTCCAGCCAGGGGGTGCGGCAGCCCCCCTAGGGGCCTAGGGACCCTCCCTCCCGTGCCTCCTAATGAGAGACTTCTCTAAGGGTCACTTCTGATCCCTCTGCTGAATAAACCTGCCCGCAAGGTCCTACCTGCCCGCAGGTGAATGTGGCAGCACCCCGTCCCCACTAGGCACCCCCCTCGTACCCCAGCCTGCCACTGAACATAGCGCCCTCTCCCCTCTGTTGGGATCAGAGGGACTTTCCCCCTCTCCTGCCATCTGCCACTGCCTGTAAGGTTGCCCCTGGTTTGATAGTGCGCTGCGGGACACTTGTCTGCTACCTCACTTCTTAGACATTGAGGGGAATGGGTCACCTGGAAATCCCCTCTCCAGGTGTGTGGCATTTACTGATTGAGATACAGTCGAAACAGTTTGGAGCACTGGGTGTTCCTTTGTTGAGGAAATATTTTTAATATTCAAGAGCTGCGGCTGCCCCGCAGTTTAAGACAGGTGGCAATATCGGCTAAGACAAAACTACTCCCTGTGTGGTGTCAAAAGAGCAAGGTCGGTTTGGTGTTTGATTTCTGAACGTGGCGTAAATCTGTCGTGCCAGTCTTGGGTACGGGTAATGTGTTTTCATATGTTGCAAAGGCACAATTTTCCCCTTTTTTGATAATGTCATATGGGTAGGGCCCTACCAAATTCACAGTCCATTTTGGTCAAATACAGAGTCATGGGATTTTAAAAATTGTAAATTTCATGATTTCAGATATTTAAATCTGAAATTTCATGGTGTTACAACTGTAGGGCTCCTGACCCAAAAGAGGGTTGTTGGGGGAGGTTGCATGGTTATTGTAGGGGGTTGCGGTATTGCCACTGTTACTCGGGTGCTGCTGGTGTCAGCGCTGCCTTCAGAGCTGGGTGATGATAGAGCGGTGCCTGCTGGCCCAGAGCCCAGCACTGAAGGCAGCGCCAGCAGCAGCGCAGAAGTCAGGCTGGCATGTTACTGTATTGCCACCCCGACTTCTGTGCTGCTGCCTTCGAAGCTGGGCCCTCACCATTCTCCGGCCACGCAGCTCTGAAGGCAGCGGCACAGAAGTAAGGGTGAAATGTATGGTATTGCCGCCCTTACTTCTGCACTGCTGCTGGCAGAGTGCTACCTTCAGAGCTGGTTGCCCAGCTAACAGCTACCATTCTCTGGCCACCCAGCTCTGAAGGCCACGCAGAAATAAGGGTGGCAATACCATGACCCCCCCTACAATAATCTTGCAATCCCTCCCCCCACAACCATCTTTTGGATCAGGACCCCCAGTTTGAGAGAAACTAGTCTCCCCTGTGAAATCTGTATAAAAGTACACAAAAGACCAGATTTCACGGTCTCTGACACGTTTTTCATGGCTGCAAAATTTGTAGGGCCCTACATATGGGGAACACAAAATGCCACTGTGTTTATGGTTGGATGTTGATAGGGTCTGAAATCTTGACAGTTTTATAAATTGCTGCATACTTCACAGATGCTAGAAATTATTACATCAGTATTGATGGGGATTATTGTTGATTGCTTGTTTTGTGTTATGGTAAGCTATTTGCAATACCTAATTTATTATATCTAATTTCTTGTTTTGGTACTATTTCTTTAATGCCCTTTTCCCTACTAGGTCTGGTAACTGTCTAAAATTTTAGACACATTCTCAAACACAAATATTTTGCATCTGAACTCAAGTTACAAGTTGTGTTTGCAACTGACTGCAGGGTAGTCAGTAGTATAGCTGTTTGTTTAAACAAGATATCTGCCCGCTTTGGAGCACCCATGCATGCTACCTACAGCTGTGTCCAGAAATAGTTAACCAGAATTGTGTGTGTTTGACATTTTAAACCTCAATTTTAGCTAGCATAGTTTGAAAGGACACTGGGTAAACCGATTTTGAAAATAAATATCATTGCTAATGTTACAGCTATTTTAGTTAAAACTGAAATTATAAATCTATTTTACTTCTCACTGTTTGCATTTTTCAATGTAGATAATGAAAACAGACTAATCCCTCATAGTTCTCATACATGAACATAATGCCGTAATGTAAGGGCTGTAAATGTGACAGGAAAAAAGTTGGAAATATTCTTTTTAAATTGTGAAAACACTTCTATTGATCACAGGTCTTGTAAATGTTTTTACAAAATGTAAGTTGTGTCTAACTTACATCCCTTCAGTCCCCATTTGTGGGGAGGCGTAACGACTGTAATACCACCGATGTTAGAAAATATTTTTATAAAACTAAAGCAAACTGACAAGGAGAAACCTAAAATCACTTGTGATGCTATAAAGTCCAGTGCTTAAAATATGCTTTGGAAAAGCAAATGAAGTAAATTAAATTTGTCCAGTCCTCAAAAATAAAACAATTCAGTGACAGCTGAAACTTCGTCTCTAATACACTGCCACAAGAAGGTAGATTAGTACAAGTAGTATAACAATATACAGCTTTTGAGACTCCTGTAATACTTAAGACTAGTGTGGTAGATTAAGTAACCATAAAATATCACAGTTTAAAAATGATCAAGAATGCTGGGAATGTCATCTGATAGGAGCATCAGTAGCGTCACCCTGAGTCACAGCGGGTACTGCTTTCTGTAATGTCAAAGGTCCTATTCTAGTTCATTTCTCTCTGCATAATATCCAAGAGTAAATATCAACAGGTAAGTTTTCTGGTAAGCAATTTATTTGGGACGACCCTTTCAGGCTGCATATTGCAGCCTTGGATAAAGATGCCTTTCAGAGCTCATCACTGCCATCCTTCAATCAGCTAGAACAGGGGTTCTCAACCTTTTGCTTTCTGAGCCTCCCCCCCCGCCACATGCTATAAAAACTCCATGGCCCAATTGTGCCCAAGAACTGGTTTTCTGCATAGAAAAGCCAGGGCCAGCGTTAAGGGGTAGCAAGCAGGGCATTTGCCTGGGACTCCATGCCACAGGGGGCCCCGTGAAGGTGCATTGCTTAGGCTTCAGCTGTAGCCACAGGGGTTTCAGTCCCATGTGGTGGGGCTTTGGCTTTTTGCCCTGGGCCCAGCAAGTCTAATGCTGGCCCTGCTTGGTGGACTCCCTGAAATCTGCTCGTGCCCCCCCGGGATCCCTGGTTGAGAACCACTGAGCTAGAAGGCTTGCATTAAGAAACACAAGGCAGCATTTACCCCTGCCTGCTGGGGTGAGGTTAAGTTCATCATGGCTCAGCAGCATCTGTAGTCTGCTACCTTCTTAGGGACTGGAACTTGTAATTGGCTCTCCCATATGAGCACACAGAGCCATTACTGGGATGGCTCACATTTTCTAATTTTTCTTTGTATTTACTTTAATTGAATGGATTTAGTGCTCATGCAAAGGAGGAGCTCAATCACCGTCTCCAGGTAGACACAATGTAGGCGGGCAGGTGCTGTCATCCACCTTCTGCCACACATCTCTGCCAGCATACATCCGTCCTGGCTTGCATTATCTCCACTGTTCCATGCTGAGGCACAGACTGCAGTAATGCTAAATTGTGCAATTTTGTGACATGAGCTAATAAGGTCTCGGATGAGATCACTTCTTTACTGTTTTCCACGTGGACTCTGATTAGATTTTGAACCCATATTTCCAGCTCACAGCGCCATTGAGGTTCCTATCGAGAATGTGTTTATCTGTATTTTGTGCATCTTGATGCATACTAGAAATATATCACAGGTCTGGCAAAGCGCATCCAGTAGATGCTGTGAATGTGTGTTAACAATTATAAGCATTTGTTTTATTATGGATCAATAATATTGAACATGTCAAAGCCTTTTGAATAATGATTTTACATGCTCCAAAATAATTTTAAACCTTAAACTCTCATGCTCTTTCAAATCCCATCCCCCCAAACCCCATGTAATTAGCCTACATCTTATAATTATTGCTTGCCAAATTCCATTAAAAACTGCAGAAGATACACACGGGGAAAAATTGTATAACTGTTTCTACATTCCTGTCCATAAAGGTACATTGTAAAGTACGTTAGGTCCAAAGTTCAGCCTGCTTTAACAGTTTAAAGCAGTAATAATCAAACTCTTAAAACTTTTCGGCGAAAACCCTCTGCTCAGATGCTGAGAAATTAAAATAAAAAACACCCATTTAGGAGCTACATTTTGTACTCATGTTCCCTCTGCTGGCTCTACAGCAGTAATTAATACACTGTTCCCCAGAACCAGGGTGTAATAACTGATGTTGATGAATAAAGGAAGGAATAAATAAAGAAAAATCGTAATTTTGAGAGACAAAGATAATCGGTGTTTGCCAGAAATGTAGAAAAAAGCAGTATCTATGTAATTGAAACAATGCAGACCCTTAAACATACTTGCAGTAGTAATCACTGCTAAAATATTTTAGTTTGAAGAAAAAAAGAGTTAAGGATTTAAAATTTCCATTTTGTAGTCTTAATTTGTAGAATTTGGATTATAGTTCAGTATTTGGATGCAGGTGCCTAAAGTAAACATTCTTAATGTGGAGGTCAGTCTCTTGGTACAGTGGCTCTCAATCTTTCCAGACTACTGTACCCGTTTCAGGAGTCTGATTTGTCTTGTGTACCCCCAAGCTTCACCCGACTTAAAAACTACTTACTTACAAAATCAGACATAAAAATACAATAGTGTCACCGCACACTAGTACTGAAAAATTGCTTACTTTCTCATTTTTACCATATAATTATAACATAAATCA